TTTACATTTAGTAACATAAACAGGAGAAGTGCTTACTAGCCCCTTGCTCCCGACATTTTAGTCGCCTCTTACAACACGCATGGCTTACGGAGGAAGAATTCTGTTCCACTTCCCCATGGAGGCAAGAGGAAATAAACAAGAACAAGAACTAGTAAGAAAATAGAAGAAAACCCAGAGGGGTGTGTGTATATATATGCTTGTACATGTATGTGTAGTGTGACCTAAGTGTAAGTAGAAGTAGCAAGATGTACCTGAAACCTTGCATGTTTATGAGACAGAAAAATGGACACCAGCAATCCTACCATCATGTAAAACAATTACAGGCTTTTGTTTTACACTCACTTGGCAGGATGGTAGTACCTCCCTGGGCAGTTGCTGTCTACCAACCTACTACCTAGATTCACTGTTACACATTCATTATTTTCAATCTCATTCTTACACATTCACACACATACCTGCTGGATGTCCAGACCCCCACACACAAAACCTCCTTTACCCCCTCCCTCCAAGTTTTCCTAGGATGACCCCTACCCTGCCTTCCCTCCACTGCAAATTTATCCACCTTCCAAGTCATCTTATTTTGCTCCATTCTCATTAAGTGTCCAAACCACCTTAACAGCTTCTCCTCAGCCCTCTGAACAATACTTATTTTTAGTAACCCAACAACTCCTCCTAATCTCCAAACTACGAATTATTGAAAATTATGAAAAAATTTCCTATATATGCACCTGAATTTTTTTGAAAAAAAAAAAAAAAAAAAAAAAAAAAAAAAAAAAAAAAAAAAAAAAAAATTAACACAAAGTTTCTAGAATTCCAAGTTTTTTTTAAATGTGTGAAATTTGTTATTTGCACTATTCACAATCTGGATATTTCTGAGCACAAAAGCTTCATTAAAAGAAAAAAAAAAAGAGTGTACACAAAATGTATTATAAAGTTACTTTCTTAAAACACATGGACAGACATTTAAATAAGCTGATGTTCTCATTCATGTAAACTGATGTATTGCATGTACATTCAATACATTGTGAAAGACATTCATATAAATTGTAATGTACTGCATATACATGCAACACATGGGACATCCACACAGACTGCAATGTACTGCATGTATGTGCAACAAAATGAAAAAAAAACATTTAAACTTTAATGTATTATATGTACATGCAACATACTGGGGGAACAAAACATATAAACTGTAATGCACTGCATGTGCATGCAACACATTGAAGATGCACCCAAATAAACTGCAATGTACTGCATGTACATGAAACACATCACGAAAGCATCCAAATAAACCAAAACGTACTCTAGATACATTGCACCTGTGCAATCCTGATGAATTAAGATGCCCATTCTCCGTGTATGCATATCTACAGTCAAGGCTATTATTAAATTCATAAAATAAAGTGTTTAGACTTTACCAAGAGCAACATCTTCAATGGAGGCTCTGGTTGCCTGCAGATTTATTGACTCAGCTCTTAAAACTTAATGAATAAAAAGTGCTAGTATGTCTTTTGGCAACCAACCTATTTTATATCGACAAAACTAATTATTTATTAATCTGCACAAAAAAATGGAACTTGTTAATATGACACCAAATTCACAAATAATACAAGATGAATACTGTTATAGTAATAAGGATATTGAAGATTATGTCAGTGATGATCAAAGTGATGAGCATGTCAGTGTCACACTGGTGATAGTGATAATTATATCACAGTAGTGTAAAGGTGACTGTTACAATGGTGGTGATTAGGAGGTGGGGGATTACTAAAAGTGTTATCCAGAGGACTGAGGAGGGGTTATTGAGTGGTTTGGACATTTAGAAAGGATGGAACAAAATAAAACAACTTGGAGCATGAATAAATCTGTAGTTGAGAGGTGGGATAGGGATTGCCCTAGGAAGGGTTGGAGGGAGGGGATAAAGGAGGTTTTGCAAGTGAGGGACTTGGACATCCAACAGGCCTGTTTGAGTGTGTTAGATAGGAGTGGAGGCAAACGACTTCTATGACTTGCTGGGACTTGAAGGGATTCGGTGAAACCAGTTAGCTGGACTTAGAGTCCTGGTGGTGGGAAGTACAATGCCTACACTCTGAAGGAGGGGTGGGGATATTGCAGTGTAGAGGGGCATCTGAGCTGTAATGCTGGTATGTCTCTGGCAAGACAGTGATGGAGTGACTGGTGGTGAAAGTGTTTCATCTTTTTTGGGTCAACCTACCTCAGTGGGAGGCAGCCAGAGTGTTAAAAATTTAAATTGTGACACTTCAGCACTGAGTGTTTATAAACAATCAGAGCTATCACTGTTGGAGACAGATCTGACAGTGGATTTTTCACACACAATTTTCATGTATATTCTTATTCAACAAATTTCTCAAGTTATGTTGTTAAGATAAGGCTAGCTTAAGTTAATTAAGATTAAGTTAAGCTAGATAGACAATCAATCAGAATTAACCAAGTATAACTCATTGGCAATAAATGAAATACTGTACAGATAAATGAAACACAGATAGAAGACAATAAAATGTTTAGAATCAAGAAATAGAAAATTGGACCCACCAAGCACAACTAGAAAGTAGACTGATAATCATGGTTTCAGGCTAGTAACATCACTGGTTTGACTGTTTTATCAACAGTGACCTCTTGACTATTATTAACAAGATGGACAGTGATGCAGAGCAACAGAGGCACACACTACGCAAGTCGCTGACTGTTTTTTCCCTACAATTTTTTTTTGTGTAGTCTGGGAGCCCAGTACTTCAAAATATTTTTGCAGGGTTAACTTCTAGATGTTTGGAAAACAACTCAATTTTTCCCATATTCAATTTGTTTAATGTATTTTTACAATACAAGCTGAAGTTCAGGAATACAGCAACTGTTATTGGTGAGTCTATTGTACACTCCAAATGAGATCAGTAAACCCTCGATTTAACAGACTAATAAAGGGTTAGGTTCCAGGCTACTGCTGTAAAGCAAAAATCACTGCAAAGTGAAACAGCCTTTTTCAGTTTTGAATGCATATAAAAGCCTGATAACATGTTTACACTATCATATATTAAATGAGCAGTAGTGCTAGGCCTAAAAAATGCATATACAGTAAACACATTACTTACACTACTTTTGTCCTAAGCTTATAGTGAGTTGTGAATACATATATTATAGGAAGTCTGAATAAATGAAGAATGGGTATAATTGAAAACCACCCTATTAATGAAACGCTGTAAAGCGGCGCCTGCCTGTATGGTACTTAACCAAAAGCTGGAATGGGCAATGAAGATCCTGCCAGGCTTAGTCCTAGCCCAGATTTCAGAAAGGTGCAATGTCACAATTAATGGGTTATCCAACATCATCATCACCACTGGCATCAGGAACCTGAGGTGAGGCAAATGTTTAAAGCACCAAACTAGGATATTGTGGAGTAGCTGTTTCTGAAGAGTGACTCATGGAGGGTTCGGGCAAGCCAATGAATGTAGAAATGCTCTAAATTTATTTACAAAATAATAAAACCCTTAGAAAGCCCACGACGTCTCAAAAGCTGCAACCACCCAGGAGACGACCCCTGAACCCAAAGGTAAAAAGAAAACTGCCACAAAAGGGGCCAAAACTAGGGCTCCACCCCAGTGGAAGAATGAAATAAGCCAGCGAGCATTTAACAAGAGCCGTGAGTAACAACTAAGAATCCTAAAGCCAAAAGACTGGGGGGGGCCAGCAAAATGGAAGCCCCTCCAAGAACGGGAAAAACATGAAACCAAATGTAAGCATGGATATATTCCCAAAACCCAATCGGGTGTGGAAGGATGAAGACTGGTTAAATTTACAGTCTATCACTAACAGAGCTTTAGAACTGAGATACAAACTAGTATAACTGGAGCTGACAAGAATGCTGTCTTTTTTTGCACTCTTTAACCCCAACAACAAATAAATCCAGGATTGGCAAATGAGGTTTCTGGGCACAACCTATAAGACCTTTCCTGGAGGATAGTTAAATATTAGATAGGAATAAGTATGACATTCCATTACTTGTAAAATTCAAATCTAGTTTTCATATGTACAATAATGACACACAGGGCTGGCATGCTTTTCTCATAACGCATTCTAAAAACAGGATAAAACGTTGAAAATATTGAGCTTTTTGTATATTAAAAAATTTAAAGGGTAATGTTCAATATATTAAACATTTTAATGTTCAAATAATTTTTTTTAACATGTCGGCTGTATCCCACCGAGACAGGGTGACCCAAAAGGAAAAAAAAAACAAAAAGAAATAAAATACTGTAATATAGACCAATTACAGGTGAGGATATATACAGTGAGTCTAATCACTTTTTTTATCTTATGAACTTAATTATTCCAATCCAAGCAGAAGAGGGAGAGGTTATATCTAATTCTGTAATAACATTCAGCAACTGAGGCTACACTACACAGCTTCATAAAACTTTTTAGATTTTGTGTGAAAATATTTCACCAAAATTATTATTATAGCCTCACTTCTATTAGTGTCATTACTGAACCAGATATTAAAATTGTTTTTCATTTGATGGGCAAGAATTTGCTGGTGTGCTCTTGTGTTGAGAGTAACAAAAGCATCTTACCCTCGGGCTGCTTGATACCCGGAGTTATACAGCGCAAGAAATCATCAGGGGTCATAAATATCTCGTGATCCCCATGATCACCATAAACCTTCAGGGTGGCAAAGTAACGAAATATCTTGTCAGGGGTGGAATATTGTCGAATGCGGTTCTCATACTCAATGATCTGGAAATTATGGTTATGCTGGCTTGGACACATACAACAATTTTTTTTAACTTACTCTACTCTGGTTGGTAAATGATTGCAAATTTAATGAGGTATAATATTTAGCAAGGCACAACATAAACTTCACTCAGAGCAAAGGCTTACATCTGCTCTTAGCAGATCTGAAAAGTAACTTTATTTCAATGTTGGATTCTAAGGAAAAAAAAATACAAATTAATATGTTTTAAAACAATATTTTTCTCCCATACCTTTCTATCTCTGAATCCCACACGTTTCTTTTTCTTTTTATCTTTAACATCCTCATCTGTTTCTGTGTCTTCAGAGGAGGACTCCAAGGAGTTGTCATCTTCATCCTCCTCCTCCTCTTCTTTAGGTCTATCAGCTTCAGTCATACTAGCAGCATCCACAGTCCACCATCTCTTAACCCTAAGAAATCACATAAATTATAAAACTACCAGCATTAACATGTCCTCATAATCTTATATAACTGGCACAAGATTTTAGACATGACCCTGAAGAAAGTAATATAATCTTAATAATACATCAAGCATTATCTACTAAAGGGGCTTTAAATTTGTCATTAAGCAGTAAATAAAAGGCTTCAATATCTCTCAACATTCTCTTTCCAAATAAAAGGGAATTAACAGACCCCTAATTATCTTCAAGAATAGCATAATAAGATCTTGCAAACTATTCCAAATCAGCTACAAAGCAATGCCTGTAATCATAATCAAACCTTAAGTAATAAATGACTGCCTGTTTGTTCACCTTGTAATTCCTAAATTTATTGTTTATGAACTCTTGATATCCTTATATATATAAGCAATTAATTAGCTATAGCCATTTTTGTCTCAAGATAAGCTAAAGTTTGTTTGAAATGCTCTGGGCTTTCTGCATGCACAACTAAATGTCACCTATTTCTGTATAAACACTTTATCATTCTGAAATATTATTATTATTATTATTATTATTATTATTATTATTGAAGTGTGATCTGCAAGCACAAAAAGCTCAAATAATCAGACTATCAACCAAAGGCCTGTTCAGAGAGTGGATCATAGAACTATCACAAAGTAAATAAGAAGACTATCCTACATTACCAGCTATAGGTAAATGCAAGCCATAAAACATATAGCATAAACTCACTCATAAGAATTAAATGGAATGACCACTACCTATCCTACCATTTATGTCAGATTTATAATTCATCATCGCATCTCTCTCTATCCTCTGTACATGCCCAAACCCTTCCTCAGTTCTCTGAATTATATCCTGGTTGATCCAACATCATTTAATTTCTATGCTCTTAATTCCCTGTGTAATATGCAGGCCAAACACTGCTCACAACCACTTCATCTCCACTGCTCTCTAGCTTCCTTCTTACTGCAATGTTCAAATCCCATGCCTCAGACTATATAAAGGTGTTAGTACAGTATCACTACACTCTGGAAAATTAACTTTTCTTGCCACCTCTGATAAACTTTTCTCTACAGGGATACCTCAATGCACCACCTACCTCTTTTTCCTTGTTTATTCTATGATTCAACTCATGTTTCAAACCCAGCTGCTGACATTTCTACTCGCAAATATCTCAAAACATCCACTTCCTCCAAACTCCCACCCTCCAATCTGATATCCAGTCTATAACTGTCCAGCTTTTTTCTTATCCTCATCACTGTTCTTTTGTATGCTCAATTTTAATTTTACACCTCTATATTTTTTTCAACACACTGGCCACTCCCTATCAAGGTAGGAAAATGGCTGTCATTCATTCAACTTTCATTGTCTTGTGAGAAGCACACTGATGCCATAGTTCAGATGGCCCTCAGAACTGCAACATCCACACTGCTCCTTTGAACTACAGGCAAAACAAAGCTCATACGCTAACATTTTGTCCTTTACTACCTTCTTTACCTCATCATTCCACCAATCATTCCCCTTCCCACTCACACATTTACACAAACAAAATTCTGTTGTGCACTCCAACATTGTATTCTTAAATTTAGCCCATACCTCCTCAACCTCCCCATTCCTTGTACTCTCTCTAGCTCAACTTTACCTCAATAATTGCTTCTCTCTTCATAACTGTCTCCTTTAGTTAATTTATTTCCACCTTTCTCTTAAGCACTGATACTATTCTCCTCCTACTCCATCTATCCCTTACCTTAACTGTAGTTACCACTAAATAACAATCTGACGTATCTGTCATTCTCCTAAAAACCTGCACATCCATAAGTCTATTCATTAACCATTTATTTACTAATAGTTTAACAAACTGCTATCACTGCACCCTATATCATATCTGATATATACTTATTTATCTATTTTTTCTCAAAATATCCCTTAACTATAACCAAACCTCATGCTAAATTCAATTAATTAAGGGTTCCCCATTTTTATTTACCCATGCATTCCAAACACATCTACTATACCATCAACAACAGTCTCACTCACTTTAGCTTTTAAGTCACTAACAATAATTCTCTCACTAGGCTCAAAATTCCCTACACATTCTTTTGACATTTCCCATAGTCTCTCTCCTCTACACACTTCTCTCCTCTGGGGCATAAACACTTGCTATAACCCACTTTGCACATACCAGTTTTATTCCAATCCACAAAATTCTTGAATTCAAAACTTTCTGTAATTGATTATTTAATATTACCACCACTCCTTTAACTCTGACTCTCCCAGACACACCCAACTTAATCCCTTTACCCCTTTCTCACTGAAATTCTCCCAGCCATTATGCCACGTTCTCATTAAGACCCATATCCAACAAATAACAAAAAAAGTATCCAAAACAGTTGGGATCCCCTCCAAGATACATTACTACTCACACTATAATATTTACTTATCTATCCCTACCTCACCTATGCTATTTGTGCCTGGGGATCAACAGCAGCAACTCACCTAAAGCCAATAATAACCCAACTGAAACATAAAATTCCTAATATAGTTATTGCCTATTAAATCATCAAGTTAGTCCTAAGTTTGCCTAATATACTCTTCCAATATAGGAGCTTTAATAGAAACAGTGTATCATGCCAAGACAAATCCAATCCCATTACTAAATTTACCATTTGTAATATTTATTTATTTATGTCTTTGCAAATAGTACATTGAAATTTTGTATTTACAATAATGGGTTGCAATGCAAAGAGAGCCTCTATTATGCCAAGGCATTATGGGCTGACTTAACATTATTGGCTTACAGACTACTTAAACACTAAGAATTATGTCATGGTTGTACAGTAGAATATTAATTATATCATAGTTGTACAGTAGATTATTAATTATAAGTGAATCTAATTTATATAAGACAAAAGATATATTCATATATTCAAAAATGCTTTTTGTGAAAACAATGATTCAATTATATTCCTGTCAACAATGGATAAAAGGTTCAAAGTAATTGTTGAAATTATGATGTGGGAATACATGAGTATGTGTGTACTGTTATATATTTATACTACCTCATTATTATAAATCTAATTATGTATGCATCTAATTACATATCTAATTATGTATCTAATTATGTATGTATCCAATAATGTTCAAATGTACTGCTTCATAACCTTTATTAACATAAAGTAAGAATTAGTAATAGTCTGCCCAAAATGCCTAGGCATGCTAGTGGCCTTCTTTGTAATTAATACTATATAACATGTAAACCACACATTGTAAGCTTTACAAGGAAATAAACATTGTCATTGTTGTTGTCATTCAGAGAAAAATTTCCCACCCCTAAAAGCCTCCCAGGCTTCATTTAGTGCTAGATCATTCGATTTCTTTTCATTCATAACATTAATAGTAAATGTTGTCTTATCTGTACCCATGCACATTCTCGGCATTGCAGTTGCCTTTTACGACACACGTGCTTTACAGCTGAAAAATTCTAACCCACTCTCACCATAAATAGAATATGATAAATTAAAGACAGAACACTTGTAACTCTTTCTTTCTTCTTTCAACACACCGGCCATATCCCACCAAGGCGGGGTTGCCCAAAAGGAAAAAGAAAAGTTTCTCCAGCATTTTAGTAGCCTCTTATGACACGCATGGCTAACAGAGGAAGAATTCTGTTCCACTTCCCCACAGAGATAAGAGGAAATAAACAAGAACAAGAACTAGTATTCGTAGTTTGGAAGTTAGGAGGAGGTGCAGGACTGCCAAAACTGATGTCCAGAGGGCTGAGGAAGGGTTGCTGAGGTGGTTCAGACATGTAGAGAGAATGGAGCGAAACAGAATGACTTCAAGAGTGTATCAGCCTGTAGTGGAAGAAAGGTGGGGTAGGGGTTGGCCTAGGAAAGGTTGGAGGGAGGGGGTAAAGGAGGTTTTGTGTGCGAGGGGCTTGGACTTCCAGCGGGCATGTGTGAGTGTGTTTGATAGGAGTGAATGGAGACAAATGGTTTTTAATACTTGACGTGCTGTTGGAGTGTGAGCAAAGTAACATTTATGAAGGGATTCAGGGAAACCGGCAGGCCAGACTTGAGTCCTGGAGATGCGAAGTACAGTGCCTGCACTCTGAAGGAGGGCTGTTAATGTTGCAGTTTAAAAACTGTAGTGCAAAGCACCCTTCTGGCAAGACAGTAATGGAGTGAATGATGGTGAAAGATTTTCTTTTTCGGGCCACCCTGCCTTGGTGGGAATTGGCCAATGTGTTAAAAAAAAAAAAACTAGTAAGAAAACCCAGAGGGGTGTGTAGTGTGACCTAAGTGTAAGTAGAAGTAGCAATACGTACCTGAAATCTTGCATGTTTATGAGACAGAAAAAAAGACACCAGCAATCCTACCATCATGTACGTACAACAATTACAGGCTTTCGTTTTACACTCACTTGGCAAGAGGGTAGTACCTCCCTGGGCAAACACATTTAACTATAAACTGGAAATTATGAATTAAAAGGCTAATCATAAAAAACACATTAAGTAAAAGGCATATAGTAAAAATAGCTTACATAAATCATATCTATACATACAGTTAGCAAACAAACAGGTATCTGAATGATATTTACCAGTCCCAATCAATTAAACAGACGATAAACATGATGCCTATAAAGGAGAGGAATACCGTCTTGGATTTTGAGTATTTTTCTTTCTCATGACCAAAGCTTTTGTAATGGCACACTTGCAGAACTCCATAGCATGAAACTGGTGGAAACGGCCTGAAAGAAAAAACTAACATTATAATTTTTATAATATGTACTCCGACTGTCAGTACAATTTCTTTGGACTCAGCCATTTTGCAAGAGAGAGAAAAGTTTTGAGAGAAAGTTTTCCAGGTCTTTTTGATATTACCCTTTATATCTTGGAACTTGTTAGCATAATGTAGTTGTTTAGTAAGTGTTATTGTTCATCTTTTTGCTAGTTCTTTGGGAATTAACTAAGCTCATTCTGTATTTTTTTCATAGGTATGCTTCTTGTTAATGCCTCTTTATTTATTTATTTATTTATTTATTTCAAATTTGAGCACACATACAGAGGTACAAAAAAATACTGATAAGAGCAGCATGCCAAAGCCACTTACACTATGCATAGCATTACGGGCTGGCTTAAAATTAACTTAAGATTAACTAAGCAATGATGAAATCAGTGATAAAACATTAATGTAAACAGATTACTATAAAGCACAAGTGAGTATTACAAAGACAGGTCATATGGTTGCATTCAGTTTGGTAGTGATTCTGTTAGGTAGTGTATTTAAAAAAAATAATAAAGTTAGATTCGGTTTTAGGTTTAACATTTATGTGATATAATTGTGAGAAACATTTAAGATATACAATTTATAAGGTTCAGTTATTCAGTATTTATTTGGTTTTGGGTGAGTAAGTGATCTTTGAGAAGAGACTTGAATTTATAAACAGGTAGTGTTTCTTTTATATTTACAGGTAATGAATTCCAGATTTTAGGGCCTTTTATGTGCATTAAGTTTTTGCATAGTGTGAGATGGACACGAGGAACATCAAAGAGTGATCTGTGCCTTGTGTTATGGTCATGTGTTCTGTTGAGGTTGGCAAGGAGATGTTTGAGGGGAGGGTTAATATCAGAGTTAAGTGTTCTATGTATGTAATAGGTGCAGTAATAAGTATGGATGTTTTGTATGGTGAGTAGGTTTAGTGTACTGAATATTGGTGGAGTGTGCTGCCTGTAGTGAGAATTTGTTATCATTCTAACTGCAGCCTTTTGTTGAGTAATTAGTGGTTTGAGATGGTTAATTGTTGTTGAGCCCCATGCACAAATTCCATAGGTGAGATAGGGGTAAATAAGAGAGTGATGTAGGGCCAGGAGGGCTGACTGTGGAACATAGTACCGTATCTTCGATAGTATGCCTACAGTCTTGGAAATTTTCTTAGAAATTTGTTGTATATGTGTATGAAATTTGAGTCTATTATCAAGGTGGATTCCTAAGAATTTTCCCTCTGTTAGTTTTGTGATAGGTGATCCGTTTAGCATTATGTTAAGAGGGACATCTGTAGCTCTGTTACCAAACTGAATGAAGTAGGTTTTGTCAATGTTTAGTGTAAGTTTGTTAGTCCTCATCCAGGTAGATATTTTCTGTAATTCGGTATTTACAGTATTGGCTAGCGTGACTGGGCTCGGGTGAGAGAAGACGTATGTAGTGTCATCTGCAAATAGTGTGGGTTTGAGTAATTGCGAAGCATTTGGAAGGTCATTTATGTATAGGAGAAAGAGAAGAGGGCCAAGGACACTTCCCTGTGGGACACCAACTGTAATTGGTTGCGCAGAAGAGTTTGCCCCATTTGCGTACACATATTGGCTTCTGTTGCTGAGGTATGACTTGAGGTAGTTGAGGGAGTGCCCTCTTATACCATAGTGTGACAATTTTACGTGGAGCAAGTCATGGTCAACTGTATCAAAAGCTTTACGTAAGTCAATGAAGATCCCCAGTGGGACTTCTTTTTTCTCTATTGCAGTGTATATATGTTCTAGCATGTGTATAATAGCATCATTAGTATTTTTATTAGGCCTGAATCCAAATTGGCAGGGGTTGAGTATGTTTTGGGAGATAAGGTAGGAGTAGATTCGTTTATGAATTAATTTTTCAAAGATTTTTGAGAGAGGGTGTAAGTTGGATATTGGCCTGTAGTTATTCAACTCTGTTTGGTCTCCTCCTTTGTGGATCGGGGTGACCCTTGCTATTTTGAGTACTGTAGGGAAGGTGGAGGATTCAATGGATTTGTTAAAGAGTGTTGCAATGATTGGTGATAGCACTTGTGACACTTTTTTGTATATAAAGGGTGGTAAGGTATTTAAATCTCCTGCCTTGTTTTTTAGTGCGTTGATAATAAGGGAGACTTCGTATGGGTTAGTCGGAGCTAGGAACAGTGTGTTCGGGTAGTTGCCGGTGAGGTAGTCATTTGGTGGGGTATCTGAGCTTGGGATTTTATTGGCAAGGTTTTGTCCTACAGTGGAGAAGAAATCATTGAGTCTGTTTGCTGTTTCTGTTGGTGGGAGTTGGGGTTCATCTGATTTTGCTAATTTTATTTCGCTATTTCGTGATATCTTTTTTGTTCCCAGAATTTCTGATAGGGTTTTCCAGGTCTTTTTTATATCACCTCGTAAGTTGGATAATCTGTTCTCATAATACAATTTTTTTGCCCTTCTTATCAGGCTGGTTAGGATTGACGAGTAACGTTTTGTTTGGTCTCTGGTTATGTGACCCATTCTGTACTGTTTTTCATATTGGTGTTTTGTATTTATGGATTTGAGAATGCTGGTGTTAGCCAGGGACTGTTCAGTCTCTTTGCTGTCATCTGTTTAGTTTTTTTAGGGCAGTGCTTGTTATAGAGGTATTGGGTTTTTTTTAGAAAATTATTAATACATTCGTCAATATCTGTATAGGTTTCTAGCTCAGTGTGCCAATCAATGTTTGCTATTGCTGTTGTGAAGTTATTAATGGCTGCCTCATTGTGAAGTCTGAAGGTGACTTTAGTAGTGTCTTGGGGTAGTTTACCAAGAGTTGTTATGAGGAAAGTAGGGTAGTGGTCTGTGGTATTATCTGTAATTATGCCTGATTTTAAAGGGGATATGGTGTTGGTCCAGATGTGGTCAAGTAGGGAAACACTAGTCTCTGTAACTCTTGTAGGTTTTGTTACTGTTGGTAGTAACATACAGTTACTCATTGTGTTTGTGAATTCAGTAACGTGTGGGTCCTGGTCTTGCAGGAGATTTATATTGAAGTCACCTGAGAGTAGTAAGTGATCTTTGTTCATGCGTGCATCAGTTATCATACTTCCTAGATTTTGACTAAATTGGCTAATGTTTGACTGTGGAACTCTGTAGATGTTTATCAATGTGAGAGGTTTTTGTAGGTACTTGGATTTGAATTTAGCTATTATATATTCCCCATGTTCATCCCTTGTGCAAGTATTAGTGATACATTCTAGTTGGTCTGAGTAGTATATGGCTGTGCCACCCCCTTGTTGGTCTGGCCTACAGTTGTGTATGGCTGTGTAACCAGGAATGGCATAGACATCTGTAATATCAGGCTTTAGCCAGGTTTCAGTTAGTGTAATGATGGACATATTGGCATGTAAGGAATTTAGTAATGCTATGAGGTCATCGTAATGCTTGCTTAAAGATCTGATATTGTAGTTAAAGATAGTTATGTTGTTGTTGGCACTGAGAAGTGCCTTTGATTGTTCTGCAGTGTAGTAATTACAGTAACTGTTTGATTCATTTAAGTCATTAAATAAGAGGTTGGTATCAGGATCAATGCTTGTAATCATAAGATTTGTAGTGAATCTATAGTTTGAATTAAGTATAAAACAAAGTAAATAGTCTTAAGCTAAAAAATAGCACCTGGATTATTTAACAAATGTAAAATAATGAGCTAAGGGACTAATACAAATAAAGTGATGATCAAATAGTGGAGCTTGGGAATATGATAGTAGGTAGTACTATAAAGGTAATTTTTTAAAGTTAGAATTATTGTATAAAATTATAATATAAAAGGGACTAATATAGGTTGTGGTGAACAATAAAGTGGTAATCAAATAAATGAGCTTTGGAATATAATGGCAAAATTGTGAACTTATTCTACTTTAGCACCTAAGAATAGCACCTTGATTATTTTAACAATTGTGAATATATAAACTAGGATAGTTATATAAAGCTAAAATAAAGGAGAAAATATATAAGGGACTAAAATTAAGTAATGGTAAGCAAAGTTAAATGGACAGATGGTAGGAATTATAATATAAACTTATAATATAAAAATACAATTTGAAATGGTACTTGCAAAAGCCAAGAACTATTTTGTCTCTTAATTGTGACCTGTTTGACTCATAAGTGACAAAGTTTGTTATAGCAGCATTGGACTTTCTGAAGGAAAATTTGGAGAAGTGGGTGAATATTCTGAACAATATTGAATTTTCTCTGCCAATCAATCGTACTTACAGACATAAAACACATTTAGGGTGACAGCTGGCGATTTGGTTATGGTAGTAACTAGAAAAGTTGGCTAATGATGTGTTATCGGTGATTATGCCTTCTTTTAAAGGAGCTGTTATATTTGCCAATATGTGGTCAAGAGATGTAGATGTCTCAATAATTTATGTGGGTTTGGTTATCAAGAGCAACAGTAGGCAATTATACTTGTTAAGGAAACCAGATATTTACGGGTCTTCTGCCTGGATGAGACTGATCTTAAAATCCATGACAATTATTAAGTAATGCTTGTGTAGTTTTTTTTTTATAATTATGACTTAAAGATTATCCACATAGGTATCTATACCTGGAGTTTACCTGGAGAGGAATTTGGGGGTCAATGCCTCTGTGGGCCAGTCTGAGACCAGGCCTCATGGTGGATCAGGGTCTGATCAACCAGGCTGTTGGTATGTGGAGATCTATTGAAAGCTCCTATTGAAACTGGGACACTTATGTTTTTAGCTAAGTCTGAAAACATATATTCCCCATGTTTATCTCTGGCACATATAGATTGAATGCACTGCATCTCACTGGTATAGTATATTGCTATGGCACCTCTTTTTTAATCAGGTCTGCAGTTATGAATAGCTGTGTACCCGGGTAAGCTGTGGATGTCATTTGAATCATGTTTAGCCATGTTTCTTTTAGAATAGTGAAAGTTAGGTTAACATTTAAGGATTCAAGGAGTGCTGTGATATCATCATAATTATTCAGCATAATTGAATACCTCATGTGTAGTACCTGAAGAAAAAAGAATGGTAAAAGATTTGATAAAATCTAAGAAGGATATATTGCAAAATTAAAAAAAAAAAAAATACAGCATAAAAAGGTGAAAGTAATTATATAATGAGCAATACAAAAGTATATACTAAATCTATAATTAAAACTATGACTAATTATAACAAAGTACAAAGTATAGAAACCATACCCCCGGCCGGGATTGAACCCGCGGTCATAGAGTCTCTATGACCCCGGGTTCAATCCCGGCTGGGGGTATGGTTTATTTGCAATCGTGTCATTACGATTTCTTGAGTCAAGTTACATAGTATAGCTAAATACATACATGTATATGTAAGCTATAAGGAATAGACAACAAAATAATTATGATAAAGTAATTTATAATACATACATAAAAGTGACAATTTTCTTCTTCTTATTCTTTTTAGTAATTATTACAGGAAAAGGGGTTACTAGCCCATTGTTCCCGGCATTTTAGTTGACTTTTACAACACGCATGGCTTACGGAGGAAAGATTCTTATTCTACTATTAAGATAAAATCAAAGAAAACTCAGATGAGTGTGTTTAAACAAACATGTACATGTATGTTTAGTATGACCTAAGTGTAAGTAGAAGTAGCAAGACGTACCTGTAATCCTGCATATTTATGAGACAGACAAAAGACATCAGCAGTCCTACCATCATGTAAAACAATTACAGGCTTTCGTTTTACACTCACTTGGTAGGACGGTAGTACCTCCCTGGGTGGTTGCACTTTAAAGGAGGGGTTTGGGATACTGGCAGTTTGGAGGGATATGTTGTGTATCTTTATACGTATATACTTCTAAACTGTTGTATTCTGAGCACCTCTGCAACAACAGTGATATTGTGTGAGTGAGGTGAAAGAGTTGAATGATGAATAAAGTATTTTCTTTTTGGGGATTTTCTTTCTTTTTGGGTCACCCTGCCTCGGTGAGAGACAGCCGATTTGTTAAAAAAAAATATATATAAAAGTGTTACCTGCACATACATATACAAGGCAGAGTGTTACCAATAGTAAGCTAGTAACTGTAAGTATCTGAGGTAATACAAATTCTTGAAAATTGGGGAACAGAATAACTAATACACTGAAAGCAATAAAAAATAAAATGAATACAAAAACTATACAATGCTACAAATACTAAATAAAGGTGTTAACTGCAGAGGTAAATTGTTACTAATAGTAAACTGGTAACTAAGTATGTAATCTGAGGTAGTACTAATTCTTGAGAACTGAAGGATGTAGAATAATAAGAAATATGCTGACAACAATGGAAAATAAAAATTTATATATAAAACAGATGAATATTGAAAAACAATTGTATGGAGTGAATGGAATTTATTCTTATAAAAATAATGACGTAAGTATGAATTTTAGAATGGCACTTCAGACAGATGATTTGATGCTTGGTAATATGGATATATGAAGAGACAGTCAGTTAACAAATGAAGTGCAGTTTTGGCAAATAAAAATTAAAACAGAAAAAAAAGAAAATATAGACTAGGTATAAAAAAAAGACTGGGTATAAAATTTAGCACCTAATATTACACAGAAAGAAAATATTGTACAAATGGTTATTAGCACTAAGAGAATGATTCTTGATTGAGCTACATTAGGTATAATTTGAAAACAAATACAGTGGACCCCCGCTTAACGATCACCTCCCAATGTGACCAATTATGTAAGTGTATTTATGTAAGTGCGTTTGTACGTGTATGTTTGGGGGTCTGAAATGGACTAATCTCCTTCACAATATTCCTTATGGGAACAAATTCGGTCAGTACTGGCACCTGAACATACTTCTGGAATGAAAAAATATCGTTAACCGGGGGTTCACTGTATACTGGTTTAGGCTTCTATCAAGAGTTCAAAACCAGATCTGATTTCTACCAGACACAATAAGATTTCTACCAAACCAGGTTTGACTTCTACCAACATAGGTGTGAATCTTGTCTGAACCAGATTAGATTACTATAACACTAAATAACTGCTAGCTAATGATGGTACTACTTACTTCGTGTTTCTCTGAACAGTGTTATCTGTAGTTACACATGGTTTTTTAATACTATGCAATCTTGCCACTTTCTGAGTACACAGTCTGAAGGCCAGGGAAGACCACGTAGATGAGCCCAAAATTCCTATGGCATGGCTACCAGTAAGCCCACGGTTGCGAGCAAGGACTGGCAAGACTCTAAGCCAAATCCCACTCATCTGCCTTTAAATGAAACCTGAAACTACATTACACAATATGTAAAGAAAACCACAATATGGCAATACTTATTGCTTATGAGACACTAAAATTGTAGCTTGTATAATTGGAGGCAACCTTCCATATAATGGACTAATGGGAGAGCAGGTGGTTGGTAATGGCAACTGTAGCAGACTGAGAAGAGATTGGTTTGCCATGATCATAACAATAATGCATAATTCTGTAGCCAACAGACACTGTTTCCAAATCGACTGACCAACAGGATTTTGTCCTGTATTTCTTAAGTCCATTATATAGAGGTTCATTAAATAGGTTTAATGTAAACTAACTACTGCATACATTAATAAACTCCTGTTTACATGTAAAGTAGTTACTGAAAAAAAAGAGCTCTGCTGGTAGTATAGTATTTTATTTATCTTTTTTTTTTAACACACTAATCATCTACCACCGAGATAGGGCAACCCGAAAAAGAAGAAACACTTTCACCTTCACTCACCTCATCACTGTCTTCACAAAGATTTACTGTTACTACAGCTCCTTACCTTTGAAGAATAGCTCAGATGCTCCTCCAAACTGCAAAATATCCCCACCCCTCCTTCAAAGTGTAGGCGCTGTACTTCCCACCTGCAGGACTCCAAGTCCAGCTAACCGATTTTCCTGAATCCCTTCACAAGTGTTATCTTGCTCACACTCCAACAGCACATCAGGTCATAAAAACCACTTGCTACCACTCACTCCTATCTACCATGCTCACCACACACATTTGTTGGATGTCCAAGCCCCTTGCATACAAAACCTTTTTTAACCACTCCCTCCAACCTTTCCTAGGGTGACCCCTACCCCACCTTCCCTCCAGTACGAATTTATACACCCTCCAAGTCACCCTATTTTGCTCCATTCTCTATTATTATTATAATAATAGGTGAGACCATATGATTGTCCCACACCAATGCCCAACCTCTTGGAGCCCAACAACCCCTGCAACCAACCCAATTTTAATGAAAACAAGCTCATTGGTAGACAGCAACCACCCAGGGAGGTACTACCATCCTGCCAAGTGAATGTGAAATGGAAACCTGTAATTGTTTTACATGATGGTAGGATTGCTGGCATTTTTTTTTTGCTGTCTCATAAACGTGCGGGATACCAAGTATATCATGCTACTTATACTTAGGTCACACTACAGAGCTAGGACTCGACCCCTGCAACCTCAATTACGCGAGTACAAACATGTACATGCACATACATACATATCCATCTGGGTTTTCTTCATTTTCTTAATAGTTCTTGTTCTTTTTGATTTCCTCTTATCTCCAGGGGAAAGTGGAACAGAATTCTTTCTCCATAAGCCATAAGTGCCGTATAAATTGCTAAACTTAAAAAGAACTTTCATTTTATTTTTTGGGTCACCCTGCCTCGGTGGGATATGGTCAGTGTGCTAAAAACAAAACAAAAAAAAAAAAAACCTTAATATGTTACTATATACCTGGAGAATACCTGGAGAGAGTTCTGGGGGTCAACACCCCTGCAGCTCGGTCTGTGACCAGGCTTCCTGGTGGATCAGAGCCTGATCAACCAGGCTGTTACTACTGGCTGCACGCACTCCAACTTACGAGCCACAGCCCGGCTAGTCAAGTACCGAATTTAGGTGCTTGTCCAGTGCCTGCTTGAAGACAGCCAGGGGTCTATTGGTAATCCCCCTTATGTATGCTGGGAGTCAGCTGAACAGTCACGGGCCCCTGACACTTATTGTATTGTGTCTTAACGTGCTAGTGACACCCCTGCTTTTCATTGGGGAGATGTTGCATCATCTGCCAAGTCTTTTGCTTTCATTGTGAGTGATTTTCGTGTGCAAGTTCGGTACTAGTCCCTCTAGGATTTTCCAGGTGTATATACGTAATCATGTATCTCTCCCGCCTGCGTTCCAGGGAGTACATGTTCAGGAACTTCAAGCGCTCCCAGTAATTGAGATGTTTTATCTCCGTTACGTGCGCCATGAAGGTTCTCTACATTTTCTAGGTCAGCAATTTCACCTGCCTTGGAAGGTGCTGTTAGTGTGCAGCAATATTCCAGCCTAGATAGAACAAGCGACCTGAAGTGTTTCATCATGGGCTTGGCATCCCTAGTTTTGAAGGTTCTCATTATCCATCCTGTCATTTTTCTAGCAGATGCAATTGATACAATGTTATGGTCCTTGAAGGTAAGATCCTCCGACATGATCACTCCCAGGTCTTTGACGTTGGTTTTTTGCTCTATTTTGTGGAAGGAATTTGCTTTGTACTCTGATGAAGTTTTAATTTCCTCATGTTTACCATATCGGAGTAATTGAAATTTCTCATCGTTGAACTTCATACTGTCTTCTGCAGCCCGCTGAAAGATTTGGTTGTTGTCTTCCTGGAGCCGTGCAGTGTCTGCAATGGAATACACTGTCATGCAGATTCGGGTGTCATCTGCAAAGGAAGACACGGTGCTGTGGCTGACATCCTTGCCTATGTCAGATATCAGGATGAGAAACAATATGGGAGTGAGTACTGTGCCTTGGAACAGTTTTTTTTTTTTTTTTTTACACAGGGTTTGACAAGGTTAAGGATCCCTAGCTTTATTGACAAGCTATTTACAGGTTAAGGATTCCTAACTTTATTGGCAAGCTAAGAGCTGTTACCTACATCAGCTCATTTGAAAGCATTTTTATTGTTATGAGACATACAAGTAGGGAACAGGATGAAATTGGAGCCATCTGTGGGCCAGCATTTTCATTTGATCAACTGACGTTATCTCGTTGACATCATTATGCTGTACGAATGTGTTCCATACTCGAGTCATCCTGGGTATATATAATCTCAGATGGAGTGATGTTCTGGAGAAGGGTACAGCCAGAGTGAAGTTGTTGCTTTCTGCCCGTCTTGTGGCATAAAAGCTTGTTTCACGCTGTCCTCGAAGTGGATCCAAGTGTGGTACTTTGACAATACAGTGGACCCCCCATAACGATCACCTCCGAATGCGACCAATTATGTAAGTGTATTTATGTAAGTGCGTTTGTACGTGTATGTTTGGGGGTCTGAAATGGACTAATCTACTTCACAATATTCCTTATGGGAACAAATTCGGTCAGTACTGGCACCTGAACATACTTCTGGAGTGAAAAAATATCGTTAACCAGGGGTCCACTGTATTGGCCTTGTACATAACAGTAAAGCCACCCACATCCCTCCTATGTTGAAGGCTCTGTTGAAATGACAGATCTATCCAGGATGGGTCCAGGCGAGAGATGAGACGTCTTGCTCTGTTCTCTACTCTGTCAAGCAGTCGCAGGTGAGAGGCGGGGCAGGCAAACCAAGAAAGTAGAGCATACTCAAGGTATGAGCGTACTTGTGCTTCGTACAGAATCTTGCAACCCCTACTGTCAAGTAAATGCGAGATACGGCGAAGTGCTGTAAGCTTCCTGGCTGCCTTGTTTGCAAGATTTACAACATGGTTCTTCATGGTTAGTTTGGAGTCAAATTTCACCCCAAGGATATCAACTTCTTCTCCAGGTGCCAACACCCTCCCATTCATCCTTACTACTGCACCAGCATTACCATCATGGTGCCTAGAGACGATCATTTGCTTTTTCTCAGGTGCAAATGTTACTTGCCATCTATTTTCCCAAGCTTTTCACCGTAGCCACCTCAGACTTTACTCTGTTGACTACTACTCTGTGTTCAGTTTGTGAGGAAATTATAGATCCATCTACCAACTTTTCCTGTTATTCGTTTAGTACGCATTTTGTGCGCTATTACGCCATGGTCACACTTGTCGAAGGCTTTTGCAAAGTCTGTATATATTACATCTGCATTCTTTTTGTCTTCTAGTGCATCTAGGACCTTGTCATAGTGATCCAGTAGCTGAGACAGACAGGAGCGACCTGTTCTAAACCCATGTTGCCCTGGGTTGTGCAACTGATGGGTATCTAGATGAGTGGCAATCTTGCTTCTTAGGATCCTTTCAAAGATTTTTATGATATGGGATGTTAGTGCTATCAGTCTGTAGTTCTGTGTTATTGCTTTACTGTCCCCTTTGTGGAGTGGGGCTATGTCTGTTGCTTTTAGTAGCTGTGGGACGACCCCCGTGTCCATGTTCCCTCTCCATAGGATGGTAAAAGCTCGTGATAGGGGCTTCTTGCAGTTCTTGATGAACACGGAGTTCCATGAGTCTGGCCCTGGGTCAGAGTGCATGGGCATGTCATTTATCACCTGTTTGAAGTCATTTGGTGTCAGGATAATATCAGATAGGCTCGTGTTAACCAAATTTTGTGGCTCTCTCATAAAAAATTAATTTTGATCTGTGACTCTCAGTCTGGTTAGCAGCTTGCTAAAAACTGAGTCACACTGGGACTTGAGCAGCTCACTCATTTCCTTGCTGTCATCTGTGTAGGACCCATCTTGTTTAAGTAGGGGCCCAATACTGGATGATGTTCTCGACTTTGATTTGGCATAAGAAAAGAAATACTTTGGGTTTCTTTCAATTTCATTTATGGCTTTTAGTTCTTCCCGCGATTCCTGACTCCTATAAGATTCCTTTAGCTTAAGTTCAATGTTTGCTATTTCTCTGACCAGCGACTCCCTACACATTTCAGATATATTGTCCTCTTTTAGCCGCTCTGTTATTCTTTTCCGTCGCCTGTAAAGGGAGCGCCTGTCTCTTTCTATTTTACATCTACTCCTCCTTTTTCTTAAAGGAATAAATAAGCCTTGAGCATACATCGAGTGCCACCGAGTTAATCTGTTCTAGGCATAAGTTGGGGTCTGCGTTGCTTAGTCTATCTTCCCAGCTTATATCGTTTAGGACTTGATTTACTTGGTCCCACTTTATGTTCTTGTTATTGAAGTTGAATTTGATGAAGGCTCCCTCGTGACTAATCTCATTTTGTCAGTCTGGGGCTCCGCGCATACGTGTCTGAACCTCGATTATGTTGTGATCTGAGTACAGTGGACCCCCGCATAACGATATTAATCCGTTCCTGAGAGCTCATTGTTATGCGAAATTATCGTTATGCGAATGAATTTCCCCCATAAGAAATAATGGAAATCAAATTAATCCGTGCAAGACACCCAAAAGTATGAAAAAAAAATTTTACCACATGAAATATACATTTTCCTACACACAAAGAGAAGGATACATGCACAATAGTAGAGTAGTACATGCACAATATATACTGTGCATGTACTACTCTACTAAATGAAGAATAAATGACACTTACCTTTATTGAAGATGCAGCAATGACTGATGAGACACTGTGTCCTGGGAGTGCCTTTTCCTCCTGAGTACTGTAGGTCCTGTTTGGCATTTTCTTCCAGAACAGGCCTTATCACACTGTGTATGCCACTGCAATTCTTAAATCTCTCAAACCAACCTTTGCTGGCTTTAAATTCACCAATATGAGCACTTGTTCCAGGCATTTTTCCCTGTTCCACCTGGTGTTAGTCGACTGTGGGTTGCATCCGGGGAGACAAGATTAAGGACCCAATGGAAATAAGTTACAGTCTTCGATACACTGACTTTTTTGGTTATCCTGGGTGGCAACCCTCTGGGTTAATTGTTTCTTGGTATTCTCAATAAGCCACACCAACAAGGGTGCTACAGCAGCAGCACAGCTGACAGTGCTACAGCAGCCAGCAGCTGACAGTGCTACAGCAGCAGCTGATAGTGCTACAGCAGCAGCAGAAGTTGCTACAGCAGCAGCAGATGGTACTACAGCAGCAGCAGCAGCTGACGGTGGTACAGCAGCAGCAGCAGCAGCTGACGGTGCTACAGCAGCAGCAGCACTGAGATTTGCTACAGCAGCACAGACGGTGCACAGCAGCAGCAGACGGTACTACAGCCAGCAGCAGCAGCTGACGGTGTACAGCAGCAGCTGACGTGCTACAGCAGCACACCCAGCTGACAGTGCTACAGCAGCAGCAGCTGACAGTGCACAGCAGCAGCGACAATGCTACAGCAGCAGCAGACGGTGCTACAGCAGCAGCAGACGGTACTACAGCAGCAGCAGCAGCTGACGGTGGTACAGCAGCAGCTGACGGTGCTACAGCAGCAGCAGCTGACAGTGCTATAGCAGCAGCAGCATCAGCAGTTGACCATGGTACCACAGTATTTCGATAATATTTCTCACCCTTTTTACCACAGGGTTGGCACTAGAAGCTTTCTTGGGGCCCATGGTCACTTATTTTGCAGATAAAATCACTAAAAACGCTGTAATAATACGAAATGTTCCGGTTGTATGCTTGGATGTTACCGCGGAGGCTGGCTTGTAAACAATGCCACCGGCGGAACATGTGAGGCTGGCTCAGGCCTCGCATAGACGCATCTCGGACGAATAGCATTAAGCTAGTTTTTTAGCGCTATGCGAGGCAAAATTTTAGTGATAAAATGTATTGCTATGCGGATTTAACGTTATGTGATGCCAACGGTATGCAGGGGTCCACTGTATATTGTTTTTGATATGGTGACATTTCGTATCAGATCATCATTGTTAGTGAAGATGAGGTCTAGTGTATTCTCCAGTCCAGTAGGCTCTATTATTTGCTGGTTTAACCCGTAAATGGTCCAAGCATGTATGCGTAGTGCTCCAAAAGTAGGTTCTACGTTTTTTTACATATTTTCAAATAACAAAAAAAAAAAAAGATCCAAGTTTTTTACACGTTTTCAAATGTAAAAAAAAAAAGATCTACTTTTTTTACATACTTTCAAATGTTGAAAAAACGTATATATACGTTTGGACCATTTACGGGTTAAGTTGAATTTTGTGCAGAGATTTAAAAGTTCGTGAGTGTGTGAGTTCTTGTCAGAGCTGCCTCCTGGTGTTATTACTGCAACAGCATTATTTGCTATATTCCTCCATTTTAGGTGCCTCAAGTTGAAATCCCCCAGGAGCAAGATGTTGGGTGCAGGAGCTGGCAGATTTTCTAGACAGTGGTCAATTTTTGACAGCTGTTCCTGGAATTCCTGGGACGTTGCATCTGGAGGCTTGTAGACTACCACAATGACTAGGTTTTGGTTCTCGAACTTTACTGCCGGTCTGGAGTTTTGAGACTCTCTGACCGCGGGTTCAATCCCGCCCGTGGTATGGTTTACTGCTAAAACTTCCACTACATCATTTGATGCATTAAGCAGTTCTGTGCAAACAAGTGACTCTGCGATATACAGGCCAACCCCCCCCCCTTTTGCCTGTTCACTCTGTCACATCTGTATAGGTTGTAACCTGGGATCCATATTTCGTTGTCCGAGTGATCCTTTATGTGGGTCTCTGTGAAAGCCGCGAACATTGCATTTGCCTCTGCAAGCAGTCCATGGATGAAAGGTATTTTGTTGTTCGTTGCTGGCTTTAGACCCTGTATATTTGCAGAGAAAAATGTCATCGGACTGGTGGTATTGGTGGTACTTGGGGGGACTTTTCCGGCACTAGTATCTGTATCTGTTAGTTTGGAGTGGAGGCCATCGACTGTGGTTCCACTCCAGAAATGGCTGGATTTGGTGTACGATTTCCGCCATTTCCTGCCAGTTTTTTTTCCTTCCTGGCACTAAAATACCTCTACCTCTTGAGTGGCTGTGGCTACCCAGGTTTTTCCATGGACTGGATGTTTTGTATCTTTTTGTCCCCTTTAGATGGTGTGCCTGACAATTTAGGTTAGAGCACAGTCTTTACTGTACTGAAGAGGGACACATTTCAGGGTTAAAAAGCTTACAGGAAGTAAGTTTGCATTTTCCTGTTGTCATATGGGCACGGCATTTTCTAGGATGGTCATAGTTGCACGTCCAATCTGTTTTTCCAGATTTCCCATGTCTGCAGATACCAAGTGCATAGTATGTGCACAGGCTTGGTTTATGTACCTGTATCTAAATAAACTTACCTCAACTGTGGTGGATTTTAATATTATAATAACATATACAGTAGAGTTAAATAAGCATCAAGTATAATAAGTGATCACTGCATTTAATTACACCATCTGCATCTTATGGTTCAATTGGCAGCTGTTTCAGCTTACACACTAAGAGATCAGTGTTTGATCCCTTGCACAAGTGAAATTTTTGACATATTTACACCTGCTGACCTTATTCACATAGCAGTAAGTAAGTACCTGGGTGTTAGGAGACTTGTGTCGTCGCATCCTGGGGGAAAGAGAATTAACCCAACAAAATATTTACCTACATAGGTGCACAAGCCACAATATAAAACACTCAAATTAAGGTATTGCATATTAATGACATGTACAGCAAGTCCCTGCCATAGTACCCCGACTTATGCTATAAATCAAATCAAACATCATATAAATGAAATAAATTATCTTAACTTATTATATCGAAGATAAATTGTACTCTTCGCCCGGGACACACAAGATCTTCAGTAACGATACTATAAGCCTCAACCAAATTAATAATACTACAAAGAAGCACTGCTGAGATATGGTTTCATTAGCAAGCATTTCATAAGATGTGATAAAGATATAATCTGATCATACCAAAATAACTGAAGTCGGAGGTACAAATGGCGATCAATGTTTTGGTAAACTGTTCTGTTCGTGTGGGAGCCAACCATCCTCTCCATATTAAACAAACATTCTTTATTAAAACACTCTCTATTAAACAGTTATTACAAAACCAAAATAAATATTATGGAACTGCACATAAGCTGATAATATAACATTCTTTCTTGAAGTTTCAAGGGTGAATTTTACAAAACTTTTTTTGTACCATACGTTGAAGCCAAAACCAAAGTACTCGATGAAACAAGTACTGCATTTGGTTCTATTTATAAATTTATGGAGACATTTTTAATACAGCTGCACAATGTTGCTGTACTGCACTTATAAATAAAAAATACCCTACACAATTTCTGGTTACAAGTTAAGACAGACAAGACGATCTTAATTCGGGTTCACTACACGTACTTTTATAATTATAGCTCGATAGCTCGGACATCCTCCTTTATTCTGCAACTTTGCAAGCTCCTGATGATGTGTTGATTGCAACACGAAAGGCCTAGAGTTATCATTCTAGTCCCCTCGTAGTTGTATTGCATCCTGTATTGCGATATTTACATAGAACTTTTACAAATTTTGGTATTTGTCGAGTAAGTCAATAAGTTCATTTGATACAGTTACACATAAGTACAAATACACAAGTTCTAGGTAATTATAGTTTGGTTTTGTCATGGATATTGATTCATGTGTAAATGTAAGAACATAACCTAACTTACCTAAAATAACCTAAAGTAACTTAACCTTACTGGTCATAATTGGGTTGCAATATCATGGAGTGCATGGCTAGGCTACATCTGATAGTATGGGGATGTCAATGATATAAAATGTTAAATGTGTAGACAGAGATACATTGGGCCATACACTGGAGCATTACATCTTAGTGTCCAAAGTTCCAGCCTTTTGGAGGCACCTTCATGCAAACTTAACAGGATATGGCAAAACTCCTCATTATCAATGATATCTGAAATCTTATGGTTGTATTCACATTTTGCACCGACTTGATGAACAATCTGTCTTTATAGAGACTACAGCCCATTTATGACCAGTGTTTTTTTTTAGTGGTTATAAAGTAAAAATAATTTGAGATTGTATTACTTGCTGTACTGTTTACAACAACTCTATGAAGACATTGTAAAAAAATATTTTTAGTGATAATTAGAAATAAATTTTTGAGACATTCTTTACTGTACCGTGTACGACGACTAACAACTATATGAAGTAGTGGTTAGATTTTTAGATTTTGCCACCGAAGTGGCTAGTTTATTGTGCACCCCATATCCATCCTGTGGACGGTAGCGCGAGAGCATGTGGATACACAGAAGTAGTGGTGCAATACTAAAAGACTAATATTCCTTTGTAGTAATATAACAATGTTCAGTGGGGCTTGAACTCGCGGCAAGTAAGTTGTAAATTATTATTATTATAATCAAGGGGGAAGCGCTAAACCCGGAGGATTATACAGCGCCTGGGGGGGGGGCATGTGGAAGGCATTCAGGCTTAATTCGGGGAACTGGAGCACAGATCCAATTCCCTAAATCAAGAGCCCCTCACCAACATCAAGGAACCTTCCTTGAGGGGAGTAAGTTGTAAAATACCAGGCCAGTGCGTAAACCGCGAGTTCAAGCCTCACCAGTACCGTGTTTTTTTTTTTTTTTTTTTTAATGCTGTCATTGATAGGATGAGCTGAGAGTGCACAATAAACTAACCTCTCAGGCGGCACAACTAAAAATCTATAAAAGTAGTTCATTCATCTAGCCGATGCAAAATGTGAATACAACTTCAAGATTTCAGATATTTTATCATTAACAATGAGGTGCTTTTCTATATCCTGAAGGTTGGCATGGAGGTTCTGAAAGGTTGAATGTCTGGACACTAAGATATAGTACACAAATAACCCATACATAGCAGAAAGGGACTTTCTGACGACGTTTCGGTCCGACTTGGACCATAAACTACTCACAGTGACAGTATACTTGGAGAGGGTTTAGGGGGTCAACGCCCCCGCAGCCCGGCCTGTGACCAGGTCTCATAGTGGATCAGGGCCTGATCAACCAGGCTGTTATTGTTGACTGCACGCAATCCGACGTGCAAACCACAGCCTGGTTGGTCAAGTACTGACTTTAAGTGCCTGTCCAGTGCTTTCTTGAAGACAGCCAGGGGCCTATTGGTAATCCCCCTTATGTATGCTGGGCGGCAGTTGAACAGTCTTGGAGCCCCTGACACTTATTGTGTTGTCTCTCATCGTGCTAGTGTCACCCCTGCTTTTTATTGGGGGGATGTATTGTCTACCGAGTCTTGTTTTCATGGGGAGTGATTTTCGTGTGCAAATTTGGTACTAATCCCTCTAGGATTTTCCAAGTGTATATAATCATGTATCTCTCCCGCCTGTGTTCTAAGAAGTACAGGGCTGTATAATCCTCCGGGTTTAGCGCTTCCCCCTTGATTATAATAATAATAATAAGAAGTACAGGTTGAGAAACTTCAAGCGTTCCCGGTAATTGAGGTGTTTTATCGCAGTTATGTGCGCTGTGAAGGTTCTCTGCACATTTTCTAGGTCAGAAATTTCACCTGCCTTGAGCAATTTCACTAGTCACAGTGTGACTAGTTAATGGGACCCTTGCATTACCTGGATTTTACCTGGAGAGAGTTCTATGGGTCAACGCCCCAGCGGCCCGGTCCGTGACCAGGCCTCCTGGTGGATCAGAGCCTGATCAACCAGGCTGTTACTGCTGGCTGCACGCAAACCAACGTACGAGCCACAGCCCGGCTGGTCAGGTACCGACTTTAGGTGCCTGTCCAGTGCCTTCTTGAAGACAGCCAGGGGTCTATTGGTAATCCCCCTTATGTATGCTGGGAGGCCATTGAACAGTCTTGGGCCCTGGACACTTATTGTGTTGTCTCTCTGTTCCAGTCACAGTATTGTCCCTTTGTGTTCCTCTCTAAGATATGATGTTCCACTGATCAAGGTCCCAGGAGCGAAACGTTTTAATATAATAATATCTTTATTTATTACAGGTACAAGTACAAGGTATACAGTCCTCGCTGACATTAATGACATACTACTATATAGAAAGCCGCTTGTTATGCAGAGCCGCTTCAGTTACGTCACTACTGCATGACCAGTGACTAATGTTTAACAATGAGAACGTTTAAGGGCCATAAACCGAACAGGAGAATACTTCTCAACTTTATTAATGATAAAATAAATAATCGTAGTAATACTGAGGAAACAAACTCAGATATCACTCTGAGTACAGGCAACAGATCCTTCATTTATTCACCTTCAACAAGGCAAAAAAAAAATGAAAAATAAAGAAAACATTGCAATATCAGATAAACACTAGTTCCGATTTGACCTTGAGTACAGGTAACATCTCAGTGAATCTGATCTTACATTTCCTTGCCTTCAGTCCTGCAAAATCATCTGGAGTTTACCAGGAGAGAGTTCCGGGGGTCAACGCCCCCGCGGCCCGGTCTGTGACCAGGCCTCATGGTGGATAAGTGCCTGATCAACCAGGCTGTTACTGCTGGCTGCACGCAATCCAACGTACGAGCCACAACCCGGTTGGTCAGGTATCGACTTTAGGTGCTTGTCCAGTGCCTGCTTGAAGACAGCCAGGGGTCTATTGGTAATCCCCCTTATGTATGCTGGGAGGCAGTTGAACAGTCTCGGGCCCCTGACACTTATTGTATGGTCTCTTAACGTGCTAGTGACACCCCTGCTTTTCATTGGGGGGATGTTGCATCGTCTGCCGAGTCTTTTGCTTTCGTTGTGAGTGATTTTCGTGTGCAAGTTCGGTGCTAGTCCCTCAAGGATTTTCCAGGTGTATATAATCATGTATCTCTCCTGCCTGCGTTCCAGGGAGTACAGGTTCAGGAACTTCAAGCGCTCCCAGTAATTGAGGTGTTTTATCTCCGTTATGTGCGCTGTGATTCACAGCGCACATAACAGAGAACCTTCACAGAGAACCTTCACAGCCTGTGAAGGTTCTCTGTACATTTTCTAGGTCAACAATTTCACCTGCCTTGGAAGGTGCTGTTAGTGTGCAGCAATATTCCAGTCTAGACAGAACAAGCGACCTGAAGAGTGTCATCATGGGCTTGGCATCCCTAGTTTTGAAGGTTCTCATTATCCATCCTGTCATTTTTCTAGCAGATGCGATTGATACAATGTTATGGTCCTTGAAGGTGAGATCCTCGAACATGATCACTCCCAGGTATTCTCATTATCAAGTCTGTCACATTATCAAAATACTAAGTGGGTCATACACCAACACGAGCGCGAACGTAGATTATTCATTACCTTCGTAACTTGCCATGATTGTGACCAGGTCTACCTGGAGTTCATTATCTCTGTAACTAGTTCATCTATCATAACTTTGGTGTCCAGTCCCTGGACCCATTATGTATCTCTGTAATCTTTTGACTACCGCACACAGGATGGGTATGGGGTGCATAATAAACATATTAAACTAAAAACTAAACATCATCAAAATCAATTATTTTTATCTATATAGGCCTATTTGTACTCTGTAATCATATAAGGATATATAGAAATGAAGGATTATTCTCTTATGTTGCTGTAGCACTGTTTTGGGCATTAGTGTCACCTTCTTTAGAGGCTCTATGGTGTCACCCCTTTATGGTGTCACCCCTTTATGGTGTCACCCCTTTATGGTGTCACCCGGGGCGTCCCCATCCCCCTTACAAAGTCACTGTCTGTAGTTATTGATAAAATCTTGGATGGTATGAGACTTGTAGATGACAGATGGACGGCTCCGGTATCACGTCGTGCAGTATTATTCAGGGTTCCCTCAGCAAACTTAAACCTGGGTTTTTATACTTGTCAGTTTTCTATTTTCTGAGGCATAAATTGCATAATTCTCAAAATCCATGTAAATTATATCGTGTTCCTTTATATATTATTATAAAAAAACTGTTTCCTTTATGTAAAAAAACATGTATTGAGCATATAATGCAGGTTTGATGCAATGCTCGTTACATAACAAAATACATATTTTAAAAGTTCAATTAATTGTTTAATTCTTATGTACAAAACAACCA